ATTTTTATATTATCGGCAAGTGTCTTCAAACTGTCAGTTTCTGACTAGTTAAATTGGCTAAAACTAGTAATTAGATCCTGCCAGTTACAGCTAAAAAATGATTGAATTTCTACTCGGGTGTTCGGAGCAATTTCAATGATATAATAATTATTTACTTAACCAGAAAATTTGGTAAATTGAACAGAAAGAATTAATCAGATTCATCTAGTAATTCCTACAAGAATTCTGATTCGCCATTTTTCAACAAACATACTGGTTAATCTACCAGATTCTAATTAATGCAACCAGATTTTTTCTCAGTGTACTAATTTTACTGTCCAATTTTATTATTATTATCGAAGCAAGCGTCTCTCAAACCTGTCAGTTTCTGACTAGTTAAATTCGCCAAAAATTAGTAACTAAGATTCCTAGCCAGTTACCAGCTAAAAAATGATTGAATTTCTACTCGGGGTGTTTCGGAGTAATTTCGACGATATATATATATATATATATAATCATTCACTTGTACTTATCTCCTTTTTACAGGGAATAACTCTTAAACTATTACACGTCTTGCAGCCAGATGTTCACCGCGGAATATCACCGCGCCTGATCGTCGAAACTTTGTTGCCCGATTTCATACCGATAGCACTTTCCAACTATCGTACCGAGGTAATTAACGGACTCGTGCGTCTGAAGGATATTTGGCAGCGGCATTAAATCACACACGGACACTCTCGGAACGGATTTAATTTGCGCGATTCTCTGTACTGTGTAATCAAGCTTGGCGAAATGCTTTTCAACCGCTTAAACGGTATCTCGCGCTCGCGTTTCCGTGTCGTTTTCGTTGCATTTCGCATTTTCGAGGTGTTTCGAGGAGAATTCCAGCCACCGGCGATTTCCATCGTACAATTCGTGATTGTGTTCGTCGAAAATAATCTTCGATTCGGAGGATTTACGAGCGTCTCGCGTGGCGGGTTATCCGCGATGTCGACAATCGTGAAACGGCATCCCCATCCCGTCCAAAAGCAACGGATTTCCCGCCCCACGCGATGGACAATTTTACAAAATATTAATACTGACAAATATTCTCGGTGCAATAATTACAATTTAATACAATAAAATTTGTTCGATTCGAGAAATAAATAATACTCGTGCGAGAAAACAATCATCTTATGCATGTAATTAAATTAACGAATAATTAATAATTTTTTATATGCGAGTTAAAAATTAATAATTGTCAATTTTTTTTGCGCAAGTTGAATTTCCTTCGTATCTCCTTCGTAATAAATTTTTTTTTTCCAATAAATTTGCTCGCGTTTACATCAAATGTTGCGCAGATAACGTCTCGCTCTAATGCTTTTGCGTCGTACCTTTCTGGTGATTAAGATTGCGGGCCGATATATAGTGTCGGAAATTCTTTATGTAGCCTAAAGAAAAAGCTTTCCGGCGAGGTAAGTATGAAGGTTGAGGTCATCTAGGGGACGATCGATACTTTTCCCTTCCACACATGTTACTCGCGTGTAACAACACGCCTCGGGAAATCGATCTCGCGTGAGGCAACGTATTATCCCTTATCCCTTGATTCGAATTCGCCGTCACGTAGTCCCGATTAGTAGTCCGACTATATCCCAACGTTATCTCGGGCGCGCGATCATGGTAAGTAATTGCTCGAAAAAGTTGCCGGGTAAAACGTTTTAGCCCGAGAGCTTCGATGGCAGAAAAATAATCTCTCGTCTGCAGCGCAAAAATGTTCCTCGAAATTATTTCCGTTCTTCGTCCCGAATCAGTTAGGGAAACACGATAGCGAGAGGCGAGGCGAGGGAGAGAAGGCGAGCGAATTATACACTGAGAAAAAAATCTGGTTGCATTAATTAGAATTCTGATAGATTCAACCAGTATGTCTGTTGGAAAATGGACGAACCAGAATTCTTGTAGGAATTACCAGATGAACCTGATTAATTTCTTCCTGTTAAATTTGCCAAATTTTCTGTTTAATAATACTAAACTCCCCAACACCAAGTCGTCTAAAATATTTTCCATCTAATCTCAAAGGTCTGTTTAATGTTCCGAATTCCAACATGATTATCGCATAAATTCAGTCCAGATTATTGAATAAATTATTTTAAGTTTAGTTTGTTAGAAATTCAACTGATAAACAGTGATGCAAAAAGAGGATGCTCAAACACACACAATCAGAGAGCATCCTCTTTCTGACACTACTGCTTGTAAGAGAAATAAAATATACTTTGGATTTAACGTTAATACTAGTTCTTTATATACATTTCATAGCAAATATTGAATACGAGTTAAGTTAAGAAGCAAGCAAAGAAATTAATGTAACACGAATTTTATAGATTCAACCAGAAAATACTAACCAAATTCTTATAGTAAAATCTATTAAACGTTCTAGTTATAAAAAATCGAGTCTTATCATGATAACTAGAAATTTTTGTTTGATTTAACCAAAATGCCTTCAATCATATACATCTTGTTGGTACGATCAAATGATTTTGCTCAGTATATTATTATTATTATTATTATTATTATTATTATTATTATTATTATTATTATTATTAGTACACTGAGAAAAAATCTGGTTGCATTAATTAGAATTCTGGTAGATTTAACCAGTATGTCTGTTGGAAAATGAACGAACCAGAATTTTTGTAGGAATTACCAGATTAATCTGATTACTTTCTTCCTGTTAAATTTATCAAATTTTCTGGTTAATAATACTAAACTTGCCAGAACTAAGTTGTCTAAAATTTTTTCCATCTAATCTCAAAAGTCTATTTAATATCCTGAACTTCAACAAGATTATTGGATAAATTCAATCCAGATTATTGAATAAATTATTTTAAGTTCAGTTTGGTCGAAATTAAATTGATAAACAGTGATGCAAGAAGAGGATGCAGCTCAAACACAATCAGAGAGCTAGCGTCCTCTTTCTGGCATTACTGCTCGTAAGAAAAAAAAATACTTTGGATTTAATGTTAATACTAGTTCTGTATATACATTTCATGGCAAATATTGAATACGAATAAAGTTAAGAGTGGCTCGCCGCCTAGCGACAAGCAAAGAAGTTAATGCAACAAGAAATGATATAGATTCAATCAGAAAATATTAATCAAATCCTTATAGTAAAATCTATTAAACGTTCTAGTTATAAAAAATCGAGTCTTATCATGATAACTAAAAATTCTTGTTTGATTTAACCAAAATGCCTTCAATCATATACGTCTTGTATGATTTTTCTCAGTGTACGTTTTACGCCGCAATGCCGAGTTTCGACGAGAATCGATCCCGTACGTTCGTTTTGCGAAGCGTTAATCTATATCGAGCGAGTCTCTCGCTCGCGAAAGCTTCCTTTCGGCTCGTTACCCGCGTATAATGTAAGCGCATACATCACAATGAGGATGCTCCCGCATAAATTACGGCACCGACAATGAGAAAGATGACGGGGGATGTTATATCCCCCCGCCCTTGCATCAGCGTAGCCGCAATTGCAACGAATACACCGTTCTATTTTCTATTTTTAATGCTAATTTACATCTCGAAAATAACAACATTTGTTTATTGTAATTAGTCGTGTATTCCAGGTTAACGAAGAGCAGCGACTGCGAAGGTGTAGCTGTAAATTCGACGCCAATTAACGTTACAACTGTGCACCGGACGCGTATACGTTTGCGTTAAATTTTCACTCCGTATTATTTCATTAGTAGAATTACCCAGCCAATTAAAATTGTTAACATTCATGCTGCTGCAGCGTCGACTTTACAATAATCGCGCAGGAGTCGTGTGCTATCGGATAACACTTCAACACGAAAACATTACACGTGGCATTCTAGAACCCAGATTAGCATCAGCGTATGAGTCATAGAAAAATCCAGGAAATATCGCGACTCTGATAATAAAAAGAAAGAGGAGGAAAGGCAGAATTTTATCGTCGAGTAATCAAAGAATTATGGACCGTATCCGCTGCAGCATTCGTTCGATAAAATCAAGTTTACTCCGAAATGAAAAAATAACATCGATCGCGCGGAACAACATTTTTCTTTCTCGGGCATATTTGTCCTCGACTTGGAAGAGATGAACTCGCAAGTTGGACGACGAAGATGAGTCCTTTGGTATTCCAAACCGTCTCCCCTGTCCCTTCCCGATCCCTCTTCCCTCTAACAAAGTTTCGGACCCGGTCGTGCGTAGATCGTCGGTGCCGATCATCGGTATCGAATCTCTAGCACGAGGAAATTCAAATTCGCGGAAACTTTGGCGAGGAGAAACCGCCGATTGCATTATCCCGCAGTCCGGGAACTTTCGTCGTGACCCGAATGCGCCCCACATTTCGACGGAAATGAATTAACCATCTCCTTGTAATGGGATTTTATACACGCTCCTTATTTCGCCGAGTTTTACGCTCCAAGATCGGTAACGCGAATTAAAAGCGTGCTCCCTTAAACGTAAAATATATTCCATCGCGGAATATAAAAGCAATTAAAAGCAATTAAAAAAAAAAAAAAAAAACTCTAGAAAACAAACCTTTTTTTATATTCGAGGAATATTCCTATTTTGTCGAAAAAAATGAAGTTAATCGAAGCAAATTTATACGTGATAAATTATTCATCCTGCTCCTTTTTATATATCGATATTTTAATTTCAAATCGTGTAAAAAGATGCGAGAAATTTATGACACAAGTCGCTTGAATAATTTTACAAATCGAGTAAAAAATTAAATAAATCAAATGAAAAAAGAACGAGGGAATAAAAGGGATTTTGTTCCTCGGTAATAATTATTGCAAAAGTACGAGAGGTGGAACAGAGGTGGTTCGTCGAAATGATCGTGATTTCTTACGAAAAGCGACCGTGGTGTCTTTCTTCGAGATGTGCGGCAAGTAATATGCAAATTTAGCGACTCGGTCCCGTTATAGCTTGTATATAAATGTACGTTTGGGTGCCGTAAAGAAATGTGCGCGTCCGTTGTTTGATACAAACGGATGTAGCGGGCGCAGTGGTAAACTTACGGTTTAAACCGACGGCGGCTTCCATCTCTCTCTCTCTCTCTCTCTCTCTCTCTCTCTCTCTCCTGACAACTCTCGAATTCGACGTCAAGCACGTACTCGAGATCTCCGACGGCGGGAAAAGAAGAGGGTTCGACGATTCCGGAGAAGCAGAGGGAGAGACAAGAGTAATAAAAAGAGATCTTATCACGCCGCACTTACGAGATTACGATCGACATCCTTCAATCGCTCGCGAGCTTACGACTCGAGAATAATACTTGCGAGGAGAAGCGGGGGGAGAAAGGGGGCAGAGTGATTCGCGAGAACGACGAGATCTACGGGACGCGGGATTTAGGTCGGAGCAAGGTGCGAGGGGAAAGGTGGGGGCGAGGATTCACCTTCCGAAAACGCGGGTCGCTTCTACGATCGACTGGATTCCGCTGATGCCAGTGGTCTTGTTAAGGGTCGAGCTGACCGCCAGCGTGTCAAAGGCTTTCCGCGCGATCAGCTGATCGGCACTCGCTCGCGGTCTCACCGTTGACAAGGACGCCGTTTCTATCGCGGACGCGCTCGTCGGCCGCGAGCATAATGCCCCGCGTAAGGGAGCGAGAAAGAGAAAGAGGGAAAACGAACGAGAGAGAGAGAGAAGAAGAAGAAGAAGATGCGAGGAGGTGAGAGAAGAGGGGCCGCGACGCGCCAAATCTCAGGGCAAGATTCAAGATTCGACCCCGTCGACGCGATCCGAGAACCGATAAGAACACAATTCGCTCCCGATGCGACTCGACGCGCTCGTGCGGACTCACGCCAGGCCACTGCATGCGATGCGATTACGCGGCCGGAGCCGACCCTCCGCGTCGCGCCGACCCCACCACGAGCAAGCGCGAGAGGACCACGCCAACCTTTTCTCTCTCTCTCTCTCTGTCTCTGTCTCTGTCTCTCGTTACCCTCCGACGGGGGTATCACGCCGTCGACCTACTCATGTCGCCTTTTGAGCGCGGCCGTGCTCCCGTCTTCGAGGCGTCGCCACGCCATGGCCACGCCACCCCCGCGACCCGCATCCATCCCCTGCACCGCAACGTGTACCCGATTGTAAAGCGCGCCCGATGCGTGTATACGTGCTCTGGCTGTAACGCGTCAGTACCCGGGAAATCGATGGTCGGTTTAAAAAACAAAAAAGGAAGAGAGCGAAATTTTGGGAAAGGGGAGAAAAATCCCGACACGGGATAAACTCGAATAGCTTTCATGAGGTGGCACCAATGGGCCCGCTTCGTATGCGCATTGAGAACAATTTTGATAGTACCAACAAGACGTATATGATTGAAGGCGTTTTGATTAAATCAAACAAAAATTTCTAGTTATCATGATAAGACGCGATTTTTTATAACTAGAACGTTTAACAGATTTAATAGGTTTTAATAGATAATATAGATACTAATAGATACTAATAGATACTTAATAGATTTTAATAGATACTATAAGAATTTGTTAAGTATTTTCTGGTTGAATCTATAAAATTTCTTGTTGCATTAACTTCTTTGCTTGCCTCTAGGCGGCAAGTCACTCTTAACTTTACTCGTATTAAATATTTGTCATGAAATGTATCTAAAGAACTAGTATTAACGTTAAATCCAAAGTATATTTTTTTTCTCTTACGAGCAGTAGTGCCAGAAAGAGAACGCTAGCTCTCCGATTGTGCGTGTTTGAGCTGCACCCTCTTCTTGCATCACTGTTTATCAGTTAAATTTCTAACAAACTAAACTCAAAATAATTTATTCAATAATCTGGACTGAATTTATGCAATAATCGTGTTGGAATTCGGAATATTAAACAGACTTTTGAGATTAGATGGACAAAATTTGAGACGATTCGGTGCTGGTGAGTTTAGTATTATTAACCAGAAAATTTGGCAAATTTAACAGGAAGAAATTAATCAGGTTCATCTGGTAATTCCTACAAGAATTCTGGTTCGTCCATTTTCCATACAGACATACTGATTGAGTCTACCAGAATTCTAATTAATGCAATCAGATTTTTTTCTCAGTGTACGTATCTCTCCCGAGTTTTTTTTCCTGCACTGAGAAAAATCGTTTGATTGTACCAACAAGACGTATATGATTGAAGGCATTTTGGTTATATCAAACAAGAATTTCTAGTTGTCATGATAAGACTCGATTTTTTAAAACTAGAACGTTTGATAGATTTTACTATAAGGATTTGGTTAGTATTTTCTGGTTGAATCTATAAAATTTTTTGTTGCATTAATTTCTTTGCTTGCTTCTTAACTTAACTCGTATTCAATATTTGCCATGAAATGTATATAAAGAACTAGTATTAACATTAAATCCAAAATATATTTTTTTTCTCTTACGAGCAGTAGTGCCAGAAAGAGGACGCTAGCTCTCTGATTGTGTGTGTTTGAGCTGCATCCTCTTCTTTCATCACTGTTTATCAGTTTAATTTCTAACAAAATGAATTTAAAATAATTTATTCAATAATCTGGATTGAATTTATGCAATAATCGTGTTGGAATTCAGAATATTAAACAAACAAATTCAGAATATTAAACAAATTTTTCAGATTAGATGGAAAAAATTTTAGACGACTTGGGCTGGCGAATTTAGTATTATTAACCAGAAAATTTGGTAAATTGAACAGGAAAAAATTAGTCAGATTCATCTAGTAATTCCTACAAGAATTCTGGTTCGTCTATTTTTCAACAGACATACTAGTTGAGTCTACTAGAATTCGAATTAATGCAACCAGATTTTTTTCTCAGTGCGATAGCGAATACCACGTATGCAGACACTACGTGACCTTAGTGCAAAGTGACTTGTCAAACGTGCTGGAAAAATCTAGTCGATTACCTCGCGGAATATTTTCTCGTATTTGAAATAAGGAAGATGTATCTTTTTCACGACTGCAAAATTATTCGTAAACGTGACGTCGAGTTTATTATTTCTTATCGTTGAAAATATTATTATGTATTTTGTCACAAAATTGGCGATATGAAGAGAGTCACGAAAAAGGAACCTAAATGCTCCGAAAGGAACTTAAATTCAACGAGGATACGCCGATGATGCGAGAACACTGTAGACACGTGACTGGATTGGAATCGACATTCGCGAAAATCGAACAATTGTCAGGGAGCATTGCCAAGCGGAATGTACGTCACCCGAGTCCCATTCTCATCTCGCAAGGATATTTCAATAACATCTCGGCGAAAGAGCCGCGGATGAATCTATTTGAACGAAATAAATTCGAAATGCGCGCTCATCGATCTTTTCCGAATTTTTATTTAAAGGGACGCTCTTCATCGAGATGAAATTTTCAAACTATAAGTTATTTCAGGCACTCTATTTGTAATGCGACAATTGTTTCGTCTCGCGATTATTTCTTTACAAATTTTCGCGATGTAAGATGGACAAAAACCAAGTGGAACCTGAACCTTGAAAACTTAATGTTAATTACTTGAAAGCTACATCTCATTACGCTATTAACTACCTCGATACTCTCGCGGGATGACGTCAATTTCTTTTGTATTGCACGATAAGACATTGCACGAGAGAGAACTTTAATGCCAGGTACGGAGATGCATTTCGCTTCTTGCAGAAAACAAAAACGACTCCGCTAAGTAGAACGACACGATCTCGCTGAATCTCGGCTGCCAACTTGTAATTGTATAAAATGGGGAGAATCGAAATCTAAGATGGTATAAGATATAGCGACGTATCTATACGATAAAAAAATTTAATTTCGCTTGCCAAGTTTGTGAATTAAGTGGAAGATCATTTCGAGTAAAATTCAACAAGATAAAAGCTTCTTACATAACAGGAATCTTTTTGTTTTCCAATATAAATTACATTCGATTGACTTCATTCGTTCCGATTTTCAAAATTGACTTGGAGAATATCAGAGAGAAATAAAATACGTTTAGATGGTAAAAAAGATTTTAATAAAATTCAAATTCAAATTAAATATAAATAAATACATATATATATCTCTCAAGAAAAAAAAATAAATACATATATAAATAAATACATATATAAATAAATACATATATATATCTCTCAAGAAAAAAAAATTTTTCTCACAGATTTAAAATTCAAAAATGATATTTTAAATATCAAGTTGTTAATTGTCTTTTATATCATTTTTATTTGGCAGTAAAAATGATATAAAAATCTCCAGGATATCATGATAACTTTCTCTCGTGATTTAAACTTTCCGACAATTTTCATTTTAATATCGAGATTTCAAAATAACCTGATTGCGATATGCTCGCACCTCGACGAGTTCAGGAGACGTAATACCACTGACATTTCGCGTCCGGAAAACGACGGAGGTAATTTCGTCGAGGTCGATAAAAACGTATGGTTACGATGTCTATAGCGAAGGAGCAGCCTAAAAGAACACTGCCCAAGTACATCACGATATTGGTTTCGAACCAGTTCGCCGCTAAAAATTGGGCTTATACCTTTTCCGATAATTGTAACCTGTTCCTCATCAAATATAGCGAAATGATCTACCTACTATTATAAAAAAAATAGAAAAAAATTCCTCACTGTCGAATGATGCAAATATTAATTTTCGACGATGCATCATCGGCCTATAAATATTTAATGTATCGATATAAACGACATATAAATATTTGATGTCTCGATATAATTAATGCAACACAAGCTGCCGTCTCGACGCTCGAGCTAATTACCTAGGCTTAATTGAAAAGCTATTTGATAGGAAGATTAAAAGAACTCGATTTTCAATTTTTTTGTTACACGACACATTACATATTCTTCTCATTTATGTATTTTTTTGTCCAATAGTATACAAAATTAATATCATTTGCAATTTTTTACTGTCAACTCGGATTGCAACAAGACGATTAAATTAATTCGCGCACTGAGAAAAAAATCTGGTTGTATTAATTAGAATTCTGGTAGATTCGACCAGTATGTCTGTTGGAAAATGAACGAACCAGAATTCTTGTAGGAATTAAGGCGTTCATTGTTTCGTATATACGCAACAATTTATAATCTTCTTAGAAGAATTTAATAATTTAAATTTCAACAATATTATCGTCTTATTTTAATATTGTAATTGTCACATCAAGAATATACAATTATTTAATTCTACATTAAGAAAATTATAATTTTTGATTTAAAAATGTTATTTTCTACACTGAGAAAAAAATCTGGTTGCATTAATTAAAATTCTGGTAGATTCGACCAGTATGTCTGTTGGAAAATGAACGAACCAGAATTCTTGTAGGAATTAAGGCGTTCATTGTTTCGTATATACGCAACAATTTATAATCTTCTTAGAAGAATTTAATAATTTAAATTTCAACAATATTATCGTCTTATTTTAATATTGTAATTGTCACATCAAGAATATACAATTATTTAATTCTACATTAAGAAAATTATAATTTTTGATTTAAAAATGTTATTTTCTACACTGAGAAAAAAATCTGGTTGCATTAATTAAAATTCTGGTAGATTCGACCAGTATGTCTGTTGGAAAATGGACGAACCAGAATTCTTGTAGGAATTAACGCGTTCATTGTTTCGTATATACGCAACAATTTATAATCTTCTTAGAAGAATTTAATAATTTAAATTTCAACAATATTATCGTCTTATTTTAATATTGTAATTGTCACATCAAGAATATACAATTATTTAATTCTACATTAAGAAAATTATAATTTTTGATTTAAAAATGTTATTTTCTACACTGAGAAAAAAATCTGGTTGCATTAATTAAAATTCTGGTAGATTCGACCAGTATGTCTGTTGGAAAATGAACGAACCAGAATTCTT